AAAGCAGGGTCTGTGAAGATAGTCTGAGTTGTTAAGACTGAAGAGGAAGTATCGATAACAAAGTTATGTGATGCTTACTGCATAACAGCACAAGGAACCCAGATGTGTTACTAGCTGGGACTTGTACCCCAGCACAAATGTTCAGTGCTCCAACTATGTACTATAGCATAAAGCAAATAAGGCATCTTTTTCCCTCGTGAAAGAACTAAGGCAGTTAAATATTCTAGAAACCTAATAAACAGGACATTACGAGGCCATCGAGACTTGATTACCTATATGGATGAAAACCTCAGCTATCTCAGGATGGGAGGTGTGGATTTCCTTGCGGACACTTTCACCAATCCCGTGAGCAGCACTAACACTACAAAAAGGATCAACCTACAAGCCAAAAGTATAATACAGTTCCCTCCTGAAATCATTCATTTAAGTCAAACGTGAAATAAAATTCCACATCAATATTAGTGGCTATCCAAAAAGTCAAAATCAAGACTGACCTCTATATGAACATCTAAAAACAGATACGAACCAGCCCTTCTTCCCCGCAATCGATGACATCCCTGCAAGAAGTCGAGGATTATACTTAATATACCCAGCAGGTAAAAGACCACAAAAGTAATACCCAATTCTCTAGCCAATGTGAGACTCCCCATAGCCAGAATCTACAGTTTGGATCCAGAGATAAACCAGTTCTACTCACAGTGGAAGGATACAACTCTAATGAAAGTCTTCTCCCTCAGTGTGGGCAGTACTATTTCCCCTCTCCAATGTGATTTTCACTAACCACATCATTTTCAGCATCAGTATCAGTGTGGCAGTACCATTTCGGCCCTCTACAGTGTGATTTTTAATAACCGCATTCATTTTCAGCATGAGTATATCCAATACCATGCATACACTTCATCAAATCAGTAAATCTTTAACCCAATTAAAGCATTCAAATGAACACAGACCGTGTCACAAGAATTTGATATAAGAACCAATCAGCAACAGGGAAGTCAGAATCTATGAACATGAGTTCCTTGCAAGTTGAACTGCTCTAAGCTTTTGGAACCAACGAAACCATCCCTAAAACCAGAATAGGCAAACTAAGTCCAACAAATTAAGAGACATACTGTAACACCTGGAACTTGTAGGATCGTTCGTCTCGTGTGTTCCAAATGTTCTGCAGGAAGTGCAGCATCCACCAGTTCCAAGATGCTATGATGAGTAATGAAAATTGTGTCAGATTTTATTGTACCCAGAGACCAGCTATGGGACACATGTTTCTTGACACCAATTTCAGCAGTCACATAGCTAGCTACTCAGTTATGAATAACTTATTACAACTATATTCATCATCTAGCTGCATGATGTCAATGTTCGGAAGACATAGAAAGAAGACAAAAGCTATATAAGAAAAGACAGATTATCAAAATTAGACGTGGCTATATAGAATTCACAAGATCAATAGTCTCTCTAGGGTAAACAAATGCCAAATGTACCTCTGATATCCAGTCTGTAATCCAGCTTTCAGTATCATGCCAGAGACAAACAGACCAGCAACGGGGTCCAGGAACTTAATTCCAAGGAGGGTTCCTCCTGCAATCATTAGGAAAATTTCATGTTGGATAAATTGAAGGAGAACCAACCCCATTAAGAGTGATGTTCAGTCTAGTGTTCCGTCCAATTGCACCTGTTTTCGCATGACTCATGACCACTGAAAAGGATTCTAATGTTATGTCCATTGAACAGGGATGTTTTATACAACTATAATGTAAAATGGCAGGAGGTACTTGGGGATGTATTTAGAAATAGATATGAGCCTCTCAAGTAAGTCTTTTCACTTTTAGGGGTACACCTAACTACAAATTTTAGAAATTCATTTGGGAAAACGAGATGATTCCCAAACTACCAGAAAACAACCGTGGTAAACGGTAAAGAATATAAGCCCAAAGAAATATGAGGGAAGAAAAGAGAAACTGTTAAGCAGACCCACATGTTGCAGTCTATACTGAACCAGTAACCAAGATTAATCAGGTCATGGGACTGCAGCAGAATATTTTAAAAACTTCTAGACAATTTGATGAAAAGCAGAAAAGCTATTGATTGACCTGGAAATTTTATGAAAAGGGACTTCACAAATGAAGAGGCTGATAATGGGGGATGGTGAGAATGTTTAGCTTAAAAACACCACCTAGTTGGTCAGAAGACCTGTCTAGGACACTTACCAACCCCGATGAGAGCAACAACTGAGGAAATGGCATCTGCACGATGATGCCATGCATTTGCTTTCATGAGTCCACTGCCCAATTTCTCCCCAATTCTTTTTGTTCTCCAGTACAGTCTGTATAGAACAGGTAAGGAGTTCAAAGATGCCAGCTCAATCAAGAGTCGTAGGCTTGCAAAGAGAAGAAATGAAGAATCAAGGAAAATGATTTGTGTAGGCACCAACATAAGTTTGGTATAGAATAGACTAAATATCAGTTAACAATAGAATGACAGGGAGAATCACGTAAGACCTTGTCCTGGTTACAAAGGAACTAGAGCAGGGGGAAACAAGACATGCATGTGGCACCCAACCAGTTGAATCAAGCTTTGGTGTCTAGAAGCTCGACTTCAAGGAAAAGATATGGAACAATGTGATACTAAGACCCAGGTATAGGGGTCGTTTGAATGAACTGTAATGAATCAATTTACCCCAAATTGTCTCATTTTGAGACAACGGGATCAAATTGACCTGTTTGCCAGCAAAAAAATTGGATGGGGAATTTCGAATTGATCCGTTTTAAGTAAATTTCAATTGTCTTGGAGTGGGGCAGGCAATTCAAACTCATTTCATAAAATGAGACAAATGGTCACATTGTCTCGTTTTCGAATTGATCCATCCAAACGACCCTAAGACCCTGGTATAATAGCCTTTCAATATTATTATGAGAAGTCATATGAAATTAAAGCCCCTGTAGCCAACAAAAGCATAATAGAGAGAGTGACTAGATATAGAGAAGAAAAGCATTTAGAACTATGCGAGAACACAACCCAAGTCAAGCATAAAGGGCATTCCTAACCAGTAGCAAGAAAATGATTCTTCAGCAAACAAGATGATTATTACCCTTCTTTAACTGATATGGACACAGCTGCCATACTCAATGCAAGGAATGGGTGCTCCATGTCAATCCCATGATGATGCCCGCCATGGGCATTGTTATGCAGACCTTCAATGGTAGATGAATGGTCTATCGCAACAGGAGCAGCAGACACCAAAACCTGCAATGTCAGAACCCAGTTTCATTTTGAAAACAGGAATAGCCCCAAGTTTTCTGCATGGCAGTGCGTGCAGTCCAAGAATGCCAAAGGGAGAAGAGAAAAGAAATCCTACATGAAGTACATCAAAAGCATGCCAAGCAATGCCACCCGCAGTGACCAGAAGCATGGAAGAAATTCCAAGGGCACCAAGGCTTTCAAATTTACCGTGTCCTGGAATGGAAGTAAGGAACGTGAATGAGGTAGAGCAACTCTATGAAACTGGTAAGTGGCAACCCAATTGAACACTCCGGGCACTGATAGATGGAAAAATATGAATAGCCACATGCTAACTAAGTAAAAAAATTGGAGTAGCGTGTAGGTACAGATTATAAGTGACCATAAGGATGTTCTCTGTCTCTAGGAGCCATCCCAGCCCTGAATGACCACAAGGCAACTCCACTAAGAACCTGCAGAGAAAAAAACATAGAATGGAAACCCAAACCAGATAGCCAAGTAAAGGAAAGAAAGCCCAAGTCGACGGAACCCAGAAATTGGATGCATATGCACAACTGAAGTACCACGTCAGAGATAGAATGAGCGGCATCGGCAATGATAGCGGTACTCCCGGTGAGGTATCCAGTAAAGGCCTTCCCGAGGGACAACCCAATATCAGCGGCCAAGCCGAGGCGGAATATTTTATCACCCTCCTGGCCGGCGGCGGAGGCATCGGAAGTATGACCGACGTGGTGGTGGTGAGCGTCGGAGTGAGAGTGGCCCAAATGCCAGCGAATCGGGATTTTGGACTGGGGAGGGTCGGGGAGTAAACAAACGGAGGAAGGGCGATTCAGAAAAGTGGTAGAGGCTGAAGGGCGAGTATTGCGATGAAGGTATGATCTGAAGACGGGATTGAGACTGCGAAATCTGAATCCCATTTGTTTGGTTTGATGAGAAGCAATTGAATCGTGATGATGCTTTCTTTTCTTTGTATTACGCTATAGATTGGTTGGAGAATGGAGTTGTCTGTGCTGGCGTTTGTTTCTGTTTGTGATGGAGCTGGAGGTCTGTTTGGTTTGATGACAAGCCAGAAAGGGAATAATAGGCTTCAGTTCGTCTCTGCCCGGCCTCCAACTGACGCCGGCGCATTCCAGTAAAGTAGTATTCGTAAAGAGAACAGAACCTGATTCCAGGAATAGGGGAGGCTTCACGATCAGCGTGTCAGTCGCATGAATTGCTAATTGATCACTGGATTATGTTATAAAATACCTTCACTACTGTTTTTTTATGTCCTGGTTGGTCAACGCGAAGGATTCGGCTCAGGCTATGGATGCGTCATTCTGAAGGAAGTTTAGATGTTTTTTTTACAATTTTCCAGTGTAGTTTGTTTCATTTCACGATATTTAGGTACAATAAAGTTGTCCATATCGTGGCAAATAGATCCTCTTATAAATGGTTCAACATCAAGTTGACCAATACGCTTGCTTTATTGCTTATTTGGGTTCCAAATATCTTGTATTTATTTTTATAAATTAGTATTCAGTTTCAGTGCATGTTTGACAAAAAGAAACATGCCTATTCTCCCAAAAAAATGCATTCACTGTAACATTCTGATCCAGGACATATATGTATTCTCTAAATGACTCATTCCAACTACCACAATAAAATTCCGACTACAGCCCAAGTATAATTCTAGTACGTGCAATATGGGGCAAGCGTTTTAAAATGTTAACCAAGCCGGTCTATGTACTCCGACTTTAACAGTTTAAAATGTAATCTAACAATCGGTTTTGAGTGAAAATAAGGACTACTATTTAAAGCAAGAAAGAAGGTAAATTGTTTTAGAATATATACGAGAAAGTTTCACCTGGGTATTGCTCCCCCTAGCTATATTTCATACACCGTAAGGAGGGTGCAACTAGTGAAGAAACTTCACTCTCTTGTGTTTCCTTGACCTAGTTTACACTAGGTTGTGCTCTTTTGTCACATTTCAGCTTCTATCCGTTGAAAGAAGGCTTAGGCGCGAGTTTCGGGCCATTTGAAGGTCATTCGGCGAAGCTGGAGCAAACATGGCCTTCCCCTGCCTAGGACACGACATTGTTTCTCTCGGGGGCGCACCCATGCTTCTTATGCGAGCATGTTCTCGTCTTAGGAGAAGAACACGGGCAAGAACACGCCTGTGTCCTCAAAGGAACTTGGCTGTGCTTTTTAGAGCGAGGATTGGTTCGATGAGGCTGCTGAAGAATGCAAAACATGGGCATGTCTGTTGAAGAACACAGTCGTGTTTCACCTTTGGACTTGACCGTGTTCCGACGTGCGACTATGTTAGGGATCTTGCTTGTAATGACTGTTGTTTCGTCTAGTGTTCCCCACGTGGCCTGATCAAAACATGGGCGGACAGGGGAACAACACGATCATGTTCCCGACCGTGTTTCGTCTAGTGTCCGGTTAAACAGGCAGATTCGAGCCAAAGAGAAGGAATTCCACTTTTTGGAGCAAAAACAGAGTTCTGGAGAGGGAAAGGATGAATGACAAATCCTAGGAGCTATTTGGATTGGATTTCTCACCATTGAAGCCCAGATTGCATCCCGAGAAGTAAAGATTCACATCCCAGAGCACATTATTCCCATCTTTATGAGTATGACTGCTTTGATTTATGTTTTCCTCTCTTTCTATGGAGAAGACATTTCTCTCACTTGGATATGAAGAAACCTAGTTCCATGTGTTAGGGATTTTGCTTGTAATGACTGTTGGATGTTATACTAGATGATTTTAATCAATTGAGGCATGTTTATTGAGTCATTTGAATCCTGATCAAGTTATTTTGACTTCTGCTTTAACCTATATAGATAAAATCTAATTAGGTTATAAGAGCTTCTTCAGTTGATAGTAGTGAGTTGATTGTATGAGAGTCAGTCAATTTCACTACTTTGCACGAGAATTCGTTCCAAGTAGAGGGGATCTGTGTGAATCGCCTTAGCATTCTATCCCGGTGATGGCTAGTCGCCTGCCGAGTATTTTGTCTAAGAGGGCTTGGTCAGTTTAAGAAATTTCAAGCTATTTTCGGATCTTCCGCAGCCTAGTCGACAGTAAAACAACAAAAGGGAATTACAACTTGAACCTAACTAAGGAGCTAGGGGGACTCATTCCCGAGTGACTCTTCTCTTTCTTCAGAAAATCGAACAATTTATTGCTTTCTTTCTGCTTTACTTTTAATTCACTCATACTAAATCTTTTCCGCTAGATAATATATAATTACGGAGTAGGCAGTACATCTAGGCCTCGGGTTGACATTTATTACTTGTCCCACTATACTGCATTTCCATTCTAAGATTACACTTGGTCGTAGGTTGATGTTGTATCATAGCTAGTCAAGTTTTTGGCGCCGTTATCGGGGACTCTAGGTTATTGTAGAAACGTGAATGTCTGTTACTTTAGCATTTACTTTTCTGCATTTGTTTTCCTTCCCCTGTTTTCCTTCACGGTTGTGTCTGTAGTCTTTGTTCATGTAGTGCATGACCCGTAGCCAGTCGAGAGATCTTCATCCGTTAGACCCATCAATCGAACGGACTTGTTGCCAACTCCGAGCGCTCAAACAGAGGTTGGCTATGGAGGAGGACTTGGATAAGGTCGTTGTCGCCGACGGTTCTGAGAGCGAATAAGAAAGGGGTGAGACCAATGCTGTCGAGGCGGTTGTCCCCGAGGAGCATACCGTGGGCTACTACTGGACCGCCAGAGCAACAGACATGAGGTCCAGCATCCAACACCCTCAAGTTGCTGCCAACAACTTTGAGGTGAGCACCATGTTGTGCGGTTCAATGGTGTTCCATGGGAAGACAGGCGAGTGTCCCCGCGCGTACCTTCGGTGATTCCACGAGCTGACTGATAAGATCAAGATTAATGGGGTCTCGCCAGATGCCATATTGTTGCGCTACTTTCCATTTACTCTGGAGGGATCAGCCAAGCAGTGGTTTGACAACCAGCCTCGTCGGGGTCAATTACTACATTTACCGACCTGGCCAACAAATTCTTGACCCGCTATCATCCTCTTTCTAAAATAGTAGACCTACAGAAGGATATTACACATTTTTACTAGGAGGAGGAAGAAACTATTCAGAATGATTGGGAGAATTATGTCGGTCTCTTCCTGAAGTGTCCCCATCATGGTTTCAATGATGCCTTCAAGGTTGGAAACTTCGATCGGTCTCTGTTTTCTAAAGATAAGCAGCTGATCGACTCGATTTATGGCGGCAACATGCTGACTAAGATATCACTGCAGTTGAACCAGCTCTTTGAAGATATGGATGAGCAGGGGTATGATTGGGGGTTTGTACAAAGATTTGCGGCAAGCACCAGACCGAGGTGTGCATGCTGTGGATACCCAGACATCTGAGTTGGTGCAGGTTGTCTCTAAGCCGGTTTTAGCTATTGATCGTAATGTGATGATTTCTGGGACAGGGCAACAACAGGCAATGCATTGCCAGTGGTGAAGAGAGCTCCCATCACACTGGAGAAGATTGTCAGGAAATAAGAGAGTCTACTACACCCCAAAAGCAGTTGGACTTCATCGGAAATGCAAGGCGCTTCGACCCTTACATCAACACCTATAACGAGGGGTGGCGCCAACATCCTAACTTCTCTTGAGGTGGTAGTAATCCTAAGTCACCAGTTTTCAAGGGACCACCCAGCTTCCAGAGACCGCAAATACCAGCCCAGACAGCAGGCAGGGGCAATTCTAGCAGCAACCTCTCTATCAGTCCAGAAAGAGGCAAGCTCTCTCTTAGCAACATTAGAGGCCATTTTAGCAGCCGGGCACAGCTCTTGCAACCCTAGTACAATATGATTCGATGGATGAACTGCAGGATTTGGTATGGTCTCTTGCCAGTTCTAGTGCTCACAAATTCAACAATATGGAGTAGTTGATCGATTAGGCCTCAAATAAATTCATGGCGCTTGAAGCTGGCCAGAGGAACACACCGACTATTCTGGAGGATATACCTAGCTTGGTAGTGTAGCTAAAGCTATGGCATAGAGGGCTCCGGGTACTATACCTGGTCATACCATCACTACTAGGAGTGGGAAGGTGACTACTAACATACCCGTCCAGGCCAGACAGGAGGAGAAGAGACATGCTTCACACTTCTAGCAGACGAGTAAGAAAGGGAAAAAGAGATTGAGGTGCCTGCCCCTAAGCCACAACCAGTGGTAAAGGAGTATGTCCCTCAACTTCCTTCCCTACTCGGTTGCACAAAGACCGATTGGAGACTGAGTTTGCCAAGTTCATGGCAATGCCGAAGCAGGTGAACATCAATATGTCTTTCATTGAGGCATTGTCGAAGATGCCCAAGTACGCGAGATCTCCCCACCAACAAGAGGAAGCTTGGGGAGCTATCCCTAGTGATGCTCAACGAGGAGTGTTTATGCCATCCTACAGAACAAACTACCAGGGAGTTGTATATCCCTTGCATGATAGGTAGCTTTCATGTAGGAAAGTCCTTGGAGGGATTAAGGCGCTAGCATTAATGTCATGCCATATAAATTGTTTAAGAAGCTAGGCCTAGGTGAAACCCAGTAACACTAGGATGAGCATACAGTTAGTGTATAGATCTATTGTGCATCCTAGGGGTATTGTAGAGGACTTCATAGTCGTAGTAGAGCCATTCTCATATCCTGTTGATTTTGTTATTATTGATATTAATAAGGATGTGGATGTGCCTTTAATTTTGGGTAGACCTTTTCTCATCACCGCCAATGCGCTTATTGATGTTAATGATGGTAAACTGATTTTGAGGGTTGGGGGTGAACAAATCACCTTCTCCGTTTCTGATAACATGAAACACCCCCATCTCCATAATGATTTAGATTACTACGATATGGTTGCCAATTTTGATATTGGACTCGCCATCATGAGTGCGGGTACTAATGATTTCCTCGAGCGTTGGTCTTTTTCTAGGGGAAAAGGCATCACAAGAGCTGCAGCTCGCGGAGCTAGGATGTACCACGATCGAGGGGGCAAGTGCAATCGTTCAAGCCGCTCTCTATCTCGCCAGATTGCCACATCCTTGGAAGAGCCACCAGAGCTGGAGCTTGAGCCCCTCCCCTCTCACCTGGTGTATGCATTTCTCCGGGAGGGGAATAAGCTCTCGGTCATTATTAGCTTGAAACTGAACTCCGAGCAAAAGTGTTGTCTGGTGGCTTTGTTTCAGAAGTACTCCCGAGCCATTTTTTGGAAGATCACTGACATTAGAAACATTAGCCCATCCTTTGCTCCCACAG